CAAACGGAATTTCTTTTATCGTTGACATTGTTGTGTTTTCCCGTGAGTAATTTGCTTTCTTTGATCTTCGGTTTCATTTTCTGATTTCTTAAGTTGAATTTTGGCGAATTGTTAAACCTTTGAGAACTTTTCGATGTATTTACAGACACTCCACAAAATGAGCGAGCCAACAAAAGAGGGGAAATTATGTGGTACCATATTGCCTTTCTTTCGAGTAAGTTGGTTTTGCAAATATTATAACAATATTAGTTACTACTGTTTTACTCATGTGGTGTATGGTTGGGGTTGGTTCCTCGAGAGTTGAACAACATAAAGTTGGTAGAAGCGCAGCACTCGCGGACTTTTCCGAATATTATCCAGTCACAAAATAGGACCAGCAGATACGAGTGACCTAGGAGTACACTGTACTCCGAAAATTAACCGAGTCATGCACGGTCAGCCGACGCCAGCTTTTGAGGAGCCCATGCAATCTCCGATTGAACAATTAGCATCGGGAATGTTTCCGAAGACCGTATTTGTTTCTGTAGTAACTCTGAGTGGTGAAACTGGTTTTGAAGATTTACTTATGATGTCTGGGTGTAACGGGATTTGCTTTGTCTTCATTTGCAGTTTACGCAGCCGAAGCTGCACTCAAACTGATAGGTCTTGGTTTTAGGAAGTACTTCCACTCCGGGTGGAATCTGTGAGTAGTTTGTGGCCTTGGGTTTAGTTAATCTGTTTATATCTGAGGGTAAGTTCCTTAGATTTTTAAGTAGGGATGCTTAAAAAAGATAACTGACAGTATTTTATTGGAAATGCTATATTTCTGAAGAGTAATGCCTGTTGTTTTGTCCTAATTTAGACTAAACTGTAGCCTTCTTTTCAGATTTGACTTCTTTGTGACTCTTGCTGGTTTCTTTGGTGTAGTTAGAACATCGTTCAGCTTTATCGTTGGTCTGAGGCCTCTGAGACTTCTGTTGTGAGTATTTCCATTTGTTGTAGTATTGCATGCATTGTATTTAGGCTCGATTTCCGCCGCTCTCTCGAGTGCAGTCTGCATTCTTCCTTTAGGGGAGGAGTGCGAGCTCCTTTCCCAAACAGGGACTGGTAATCGAGCCTACGTTGTATTTCCTTTATTGTCGTTGAAAACATGTGTTGCTTTCATTAGACGCTCAGCCTCTCCCCTCTTCCCCCCGCCCCATCTCCCCAGTGAAGTTTTAGTTTTTCTTTCCACGGCAATTCCTTGGAAATGCGTTTGCTTTAGCGCGGCCAATTCTAAATCACAGAGTTGTATATTACTAATAGCATAAGTTGTTCAAAGGCTTGATTCTCTCTACAGGCTCTTTAAATTGAAGCAGAGATACCGTGATGTGTTCGACACAATGGGTGTCTTATTACCGCGAATGGCCAGGTATTGTGCTTTTTCAACATCTTCTAGTCTCCACCTCTCCTTCCCCTTTGAACGCTGGTCACGCAGCCTACAATCCAGTGAATATGCATTTTTGTTGGCACTCACCGTGTTCAATTGCAAACCGCAGAACTGATTGGCTTTCTTACCGTTTCCTATTGAAGAGTTAATTTACGGGCCGGAGTTAACATCACTTATTGCAAGCAAGGACGCGTTGTCACACATTATGGTCTTGCCTGTCAGCTTCAAATTCCAACTCTGACCGTTTTGAAAATTGAAGGGATTTTCTGAATTTTGTCCGAAATTTCCGAAAAAATTTAGGCACCTTACCCACCGCAGCAAGCCAGCCGCGAAACCATCCGACGGAAGGGTTTTTCGTTACTTTAGAGATCAGTCATTGTTAGTCTTCAATACTTTTAAAAAAATGTACATTTTTCACCTCAGGATGGCTTTGGTTATTCTTCTGATGTATTACTCGTTTGGAATCGTTGGAATAGAATGCTTCTCTGGACTTAAACTGAAAAACTGTTGTCAGTAAGTTCTCTTTTTCAGTTGTCTTTTTCAGTATTACAACAGTAAGGACGACATTAGTTTAATCGAACCTCTTCTCTGTGTGCAAAAAAAAGGTCGTGGTAATATTTTTCACTGCCCTTCACCTAGTATTTTTTCTTAGCCTTGTTTTCTGCGTTGTACAGGAACACATCATGGGAAGAAGAATACAGAGAAGACGGCTATAAGTATTATTATTTAAACAACTTCAACGATTTGCTGCATTCTTACGGTAGGAGTTAACCCTCATTTGTGTAGTGTAAAGCATTTGCAACAACATGAAAGTGCAACTTTTTATTAAATTTCTCTCTATTGTCGGTACAGTGGCAAGCAGACACGTGATGAACACAAAACAAAATCATCAAATAGGGGCACGACTGTCGCAAGGCTGTTGATGTAAAGGCGCGTTTGCCTCATGGTTAGCGCGCTGGATTCTGGATGAAACGGTCCAGGTTTTTTCCCCTAGCCGGGGACATTGTGTTGTGTTCTTGGGCAAGACACTTACTCTCACAGTGCCTCTCTCCATCCAGGTGTACAAATGGGTACCAGCGGTGGACTACCATCCCATCCAAGGGGGAGGGGGAGTAGAAATACTCCTAACCCCTTAATGTCATGGAAACCGGGATAAGCTCCGGATGTATGAAGTAGTTGGCTCGACGTTTTTTCTGAAGACAATGACATTATCACAACTGAATGTTTTAGAAATACGTTAGAGTTAGTAAGGAGAATTCACATTCTAAGCTTGGCATAACAAAAGTTAATGACCTGTCAAGATGGATAACGTACTTTAGCCATTTACTGCAAACAGTAGAATACTGTTGACCATGTGTAAAGTTGTTCTTTTTGTCTCTGCAGTGACATTGTTTGAATTGACGGTGGTCAACAACTGGATGATAATAATGGTAAGAACACATGAGATGCTGTTTGTTCTTCTTATTTAATAATATCCTATTTACACTGGCATGTTAAACATGTTTTAAAAGTGATTTAACTAAACAAGGTTAAAAATTAGTTACTCATACCGTACACACCCCACAACGTAACAAGCTAAAAACGTGTTTGAATAAAATACCGTATGTCAGCAAGGTGGTTTGAAATTTGTCTTCTCGAAATGACTGCAAAGTGCAACTGACAAATTGGAAAAACCCAAACCTGATTTAGTTAAACTAGTGTAGTTGGTGTGAATTGTGTATAAGTCAGTTTAAGTGTAATAAGATTATCAGTTTAGTGATGGTAAAGTAATTAATAATGCAGAAGAGAGGAATGCCTGTGGAATCATCATATGCTGACTAGTACTTGTTCCTCCAGCGTTTCGCGCGACCTTTTTTCTTCTCGTGCAATTTTTACCGATAAACATGAGGTGCTTTCTCTGCGGTTGCGTTTTCGCTGCAACATCTGTCACCCCGTTCTCAATTCTGGGTTCCGTGTAGTGTCTGCCTGGCTGTCTCTTACGTTGGAAAATTCTGAAACCGCGCAAGAGCCCCTACCCCCCCCCCCTCCGCCCCGCGCCCCTAGAGCCACCAGGGGGATTTTTGTAAAGCAACAATTTCAGTATCGATTTCTTGAAGTCGAATCTCAGGCGAAGCGAGGAAACAATTGAGGCCTGGAAAGAGTTTGTTCTCCCATTTCTATTTCTGTTTTTTTTTTCTTTCATTCTACTTATATTTTGATTATTTTATTTTTTCTTACTTAAAGGAAGGGATTGTTTTCGTGACATCAGACTGGGCTAGGATATACTTCATGTTATTTTACATTGTCATGATGGTGAGTCAACTGGTTGATTCGCACTATGACTGTTTTGGCTTTGACTTCTTGAACAGTAGGCGCAATCTCGTATCCGGAGCCCGTGCATTTGCGGTCAGCGGTGACCGAATGCTTAATCAAAAACCGGAACCAGACGCGGATTTTTCGGTTTCATTTTTTCGCCCCGGGCGCGGAATTTGCCTCTACATCAGAAGGATTGTCGAGGCGCGAGTTCATTTATGATTGTTTTGTTTAAAATGTCGTTTCTAAGCACACGGCGAATCCAATGTTAAATGCTACATGCGCCTGTTCTTTTTCACTAGGTGGTTGTGACCATCATTGTAGCGTTTATTCTTGAAGCCTTTCTCTTCCGAACTAAATATCATAAAGAACATCGTACTGACGAAGAGGGTAAGTGGACTTAGCTAAAGTAAGTTCCAAAAATAACAAACCCCCGTAATAAAATGAACGGTTGTTATCAAATCTTATTAACAAATACATGCGTGACTTCCTTGTGTTTGTCCCGCCTCCAAAGCCAACGAACTTGGAAAAAACAGAAAGAAAGAAAATTGTGGGTGGTCTTTTCTCTGATTACAGAGTAGGTCATCTCATCACAGCGTTCATGTAAGTGAATAGAGAGAACTTTGGTCTTACAACAGTGTGATTCAAATGCACATGCTGTGCCGTATTTTTGACAAGTTTAAGGCATATCCCGGGGAGTACTATACAAAGTTCTCTACAGGGGAGGCTCCACCCCGTGGTCCAGCCCCGGCCTTGCCCTTTTGTACAGCATTTTGACAGAAAAGGTACCCTGTCGTGTACCTTTAATTGAAAAAGGTAACCCTTTAACATACTTTCATAACTGGCTCGTACTATGAATAAATCGCCAATAAAGGAAGTCTTCTTGTCATTCTCATGTACCGCCTAATAAATGAACTGATACAGCTATAAGGTGCGTCTGTTCGAAATATTTTAATTAAAGGCCCTTTAAAATAAGTAAATGACAGATTCCATGCTTTTTCATAACTTTTCTCAACTTGTGAAATCCCTACCCTTTAATATACCTGAAACCTGAAAAAGTTACCCCTTTCGGGCAGAGCCTTCCCATACAGGCCATTATAAGGAGTAACCCCCGGGGGTTTTCTTTCCCAAACCTCCCTACCAATCACATTGCCACATGCGAAATCCATAGGCTTCCAACTACTTTGGACTTCCCACCTCCTTGACAAACTTGAAATCCATTGGCCGAGTAAGAGAGAAATCAACATCAATATCTCAGTAAGATTAAAAAAAAAAAACATCGCCCGACATCAGAACGTTTTGTTTCCTTGACAGAGGACATGAACATAAAGAAAGAAATAACAGTTACCTATGAAGAATTCCTGCACTTGGAAGAAGAATTTCGGCACTTGGGAGAAGAATTTGTGCAAGACCTGCAGCCTAATCAGCCTGTAAGAATCTCTACACTAATTTTGCCCTTTTTATGTAGAATACAAAATTTTAAACCTGTAGTTCATTAGATATAGGAAGCAATTCCATTTTAAGGAGACCTATATTACGAAAAGACTTTCTGTAGTGTTTTAGAAGAATTAATGGAACTTAAAATCTTGATAAGTCCAAGGTTTGCTTTTTTTCTCGCTGACCCCGGCAGCACACTAGTTACACATCATAGCTGCTTACATGAATTGCATCATTTTATTGCAGGTTAGGTATATAGGAAAACGTTCCCAAACAAAAATGGATTTGAACATAAAAATGTACGCAGATGAAGTCAAGGTATGAGTTGGTTGTATTGCTCGATAATTTCATATTGATTGTCTGGTCTATTCGTTTTTGACAGGTTACGTTGTTGCGGGCCATTTTGTGACAGAAACCATCCTTGTCTTAGTACGTTCTGTAACTGATGTTTCATCAGAAAACCACTGACGAATATTTCTTTTTTTCTTGTAGCAATGGATTAAAAATGAACGGGTAACCGCGTATATCGATATGTCAGAAACTTATGCGCAGTCTGAAGTTATGGAAGAAGAGCCTGATATAGGATTGGTAAATGAGGTGGTACGCGAGGACGAGGAAGTATGATAACAACTCACTTAGGTCGAATGGCATCAAACGCGCGAGTTACCATGGTTACATACATTAGGTAGCTTTTTACCTCTAGATTATCATCAAAACTGGAAATTTCAAATTTCAATTCTTTCCGCTACATTGTGTTTCATATTTTCCAACCTGAATATGTTGATGATCACTAATATCTTACTGAGTGTTTGTATCGTCCACTTCTCATTTTAGCTTTTTAGCCTTTTTATTCCGTTTTAATCTTGTCATGCGCATTTGACCATTTTATGAAATTTGCGCATTATAAATGTTATTATTGTTAT